ACTGCCTTGAAAATGCTTAATTGACTGCAGACACTGTCAGTTTTGAAACAGTTTTTACTTTGGTATAATTAAAAATTCTCTGCTATATTATGGCTTTCCTGCAGACACCAGCAGTTTTCAAGAAAAGTATTACAGAACTTCCAATCTATTTGCAGATAAGATGGGTAAAAATAAAAAGGTTTCTACATGGTGTTTCAGGATGTTAATATAAAAAAAACCCACATCCCCTAAAAAAACGTAAACAAGGAAACATAATCATAGAATGGCCTAGGCTGGAAGAGACCTTAGAGATCATTTAATCCAACCTTCCTGTCATGGGCAGGGACGCCTCTCAACTAGATCAGGCAACACATGGGGACCGAACAGGGATATAATTAAAAATAACTTAAAAGAAAAACCCACAGAAGCCAACAAATTTAAGGTTTGTTAACTGCTAGCTGCCTATAATTCAGCAACTAGAAAGGATTATCAAATTAATTCCCTACTGGGTTTCTAATTCCACTAAAAAGTTAAGATTTTAAGTTTTAATGATTCCAAAAGAAGGGGAGGAGAAGGGAAAACAGAACAAATCCAGTCAGAAAGTAATAAAGTCAGATACATCCTAGAGAAATTTAGGGTTCATACACACTAGGACAAGCCATAGCAGAAATGCAAGATGCTAAACAAAACTATGCTCCTTGCTTGACTTTGTCAAAACATTTTTCAGTGTGCTACTTAAATGTCAACGTCACTAGCTCTGCATGCTTTGCTAGTAATACATTAGGATTTTAAAGGGCATGGGTGCAAATTTATTTTGTTAATGTCAAAGCAATGCCTTGCTTATAAATGCAACTGTTCTAAATGTAATTTAAAAACTCAACTAGTGTAATACAAAAATAGCTTCACTTTGTTAACTTTAATTCAGTAGCAATTTGGATTATATATACACATGATGCATTTGTTTTACTCACATTATTCAACTGATGGAATAAACCAACAAATTGTTAGTTCAAAAATTCGAAGAAAAATATTTTTCCATGTAATACTGGTCCTGTGTATCATATATTATTCTGGCAAGTTATAATGTACAGTCCACAGTGGTGGTTCGGGGTTTATTTGGTGTTTTTTGTGGTGTTGTTTTCATTTTGTTTTGAATTACTTTATCTGATGATAAAAACTCCTAAAACCACTCAGAAATCACTGGGCAGCATCTTACTGACAGAACAATTTCTCCATTATGTTTCATTTCCATCATCAGTTAGTTCCTCTAATATCATATCCTCTCTTAGGCTGAAAGCAAAACCTTCTCTTGATTTTACTATGACATTTCTAGTTTTATACATGGCAATTAACATACTAGTTAACATACAAGAGCTGAACCACAATACTCACTACTCAATTTACACTTAATTTCAAGACACTTATTTATTTTTGCATTTCTGGTTAGAGGATGTGATATTCAGTTTCGTTTTCTGACAGTTTTCCATATAAAAACATGAATCTATGAGAAGTCTCATATTTATTGTATTTTTCCAAAAACTGAAAACCATTTTTAAGTAGTAAGTGCCATGCCTCAAACTGACAAGACTAATACTTATATAGTCAATATGTGCCATATACAACAGATCTAAAGTCAAGTCAGCACAGACTGGAAAACCTTCAGTTGTTAAAACTGTGTAAAAGGCAAATAACAAGATTGACTCTGTGACTGTTAACATCTCCTCCAACTCAGTCCTGCTTGCTAACAACAACAAAGTCATACCTGGATGCAACCAGCACTGCTGTCAGGATTCAACCATCTCAGATCACAAAGAAAGTTAATTAATTACCAAGTTTGTTACATTTTGGACATGCCTACTATCTGAACTACTCTCTCCTTCAGGAAGTATTCTGTCTCATAGCTAACTCCCAGATGATGAGTCTTACCAACACAAACATTATTTGACTGTATAGGCTTTGTAGACCTAGGTGTTCTACCATACAATCACAAAACCTCCTAGAAAAAAACCCAAAACACCAAACAAAAACACACCAGAAAATAACAGAAAATAATAAACAAGAAAACCCTTCACCTTTTTCCACCAGCTTAGAAAGAAATGAAGTCACAAGTTCCTTTGCGAAAAAGGTTCTATAATACTGCCATAGTAGCTGCCAGGCAGAAACTGTTCCTCAGAGGACTTTGTCTACTTCAGTTCTACAAGAATAAAGGCTCAACGTGATAAAACATTTTATTTTGACAAGTATAAATCACTACTAACATACTTTAGAAAGTCTGACAAAGAATGATGAAACAACAGCAAAATATAAAAACAACTTTAAAAGGAGTACTATTCATTCTAAATTATATTTAAAAGAGTCAAGTATAAAAGGATACATCTAGGAGGCAGGGACTAGCCATACCAGCAAAACAGGAACTGGTATCCCAGAAAGCTAGAAGCCCTGAGAATGACTGATGAGGTCTGACTAAACAAGCAACAGAGTATAAAGTCTTCAGATGATGTCAGGGGACTAACTGAACTTGTGGATTGGCAGGAATTGATTTTGAATGTTGTGATGCAAGATAAATATCATATGTTGCCTAGGCTTCACATTTTCCTGGGAAACTGAAGACAGTGCAGAAGACAGAAAAAAAAAAAAGTTTTGACATTCAAGCCAAAGAAATCAATCAATTTGAGTTTTATAAAAAGAAGACCTAAAGATAATTTGATTATGGCACATAAATATGTCCCCAGGGTTGGGGATGTGGAAAGGAGACAAAAACGTAAGTTGAACAAACATCTCAAAACTGAAACAAAGAAAATTCAACTCAGAGAAAAATGAAGAAAAAAAGTAGGTAGACCAGATATAACAGTAGAAAGGGCTAACCAAACAACCAAGGTAGTTACTGTTCCAGTGAATACAGACTACATCGGGAGACTCTCTGGATGATGAACTCTACCTCATTGATTAATTAGAACAGTAACTGAAAAATTGGCATTCAAATGACTTGTTATTCCACCATCACATAAAATCAATAATCTAGTCAGAGAGGAAGCAAAAGAAGCAAGGCACCTGATGTCATGGTTGATATCATGGTTGATGATACCCTATATTCTTTCAAAGCCTACACTATTATGAGAATACAGAATCTAATGGATAAAAGCCCTCATGATGTTAATATTCTGGCAAGTTGGTACAGCAGTATGTAAGAACCACCTTTTCCCCACCACTATCTAGTAAAATTGTTCTCTATTTCATTCCCTCAGCAATACCTTCAGTGACTACGACAGTATTTATTTCCATTAAAAAAATATTTAACTATCCCCTAATATACTAGTATAACACCCAAAGTGAAGAACCTCACTCCCCACTAGCCTTATACACCTTTAGATGCTGTAATGAAGGGTCTGAACTGAACTGACAAACCTAAGGGAGGTAAAACTGAAGCCCAAAGACCACGGGCACCAGTGGTAAGAAATGTGTCCTTACTGCAGAAAAGAGTATAGACGTATTTTTTAAAGCAGGCAGAGAATTTTTTTTTTTTTAACTGGAGAAAAGAGACTACAGAACCTTGGGGACAGTGGAAGGTATATGAAAGATCTTGATTTGAGTCACCATCAAAATAATACCTTAACTTCAAGAACATTCTCAGGCCCATCTGTCAAACTCAGACCCACAAGGTCATCAGAGTGGTAGAATCTCGTGCAGTTAAAACTTTGCAGACTTCTGAATACTGCTTCCACATGGACTCACAGAACAAATCCCTGGGAGTGCTTCTGCTGAACTCATTATATGTGTTTTTCTGCCTCAAGTTCTCATACTACATGAAGAGCAACTCTACCAACACAGATACTAGATTCTGCCACACCTAAAGAATTCCAAGGAACAAGGGGCTTAAACCCAGAAGAATCTTTGTGAAGCTAGCATACACAAGCAAATTACTAACTCACAGCACAAAGCTTAGTCAGTACAAGAGATTGAACAGCACAGACAAGACTGACAGACCCCTTCCAAAAGTAAAGTCATTAAAACCACATTTAAAAAACAGTATAGCAATCAAAAGACAAAATCACAGAAGTATAAGATGTCTGGAGATAATAAAATACATCCAGAGTAAGCAGCTTCATACTCATGACCCACTGGAGGAGGAAAAAAAAAAAGGCAACTTTGGAACTACAAGCATTTCTTTTACATTCATTTGCACCTGAAATACAGCACTTTGAAAGCTGAAAGACAAATGCAGCCTTGTACCACTCTCACACCAAAAAGGAAGACCTGGAGACACTCCCTGTATGTGTGTGTGTGCACATATGCATGAGGAACAAAAAGTTAGTCATTTTAATATCCAAAGTTTATTGGAATTATTTTTTTATTCACAAGTTCACTGTACTTTCCAAGAAAAGAAAGATGTATGTGCAAAACGCATGCTTGAATCATTTTACTGCAGGTCCTAGCACCTGTCCATTTTAAACTCTGGTTAAATGCAATTCAAAGGCATTCTTAAATAGAAACATGATTTATTTATTTAAAATATACTACCCTGCCATTTATTTACCTTATTTTCTAAACTATCACAAAAATGCATGAATCACACACACACAAGCAGTCATGTTACACAGAACAAAACAGCTCCCATCTGCAAAGTAATTAAGCATGTATAATATACAACACATATACAACTTCCAGGACCAATCTGTTTTGCAGGGTTGCATCAGAAAAAAATTAAAGTTATTTCCAGCTCCTGCTGTGATTTAAGTATCCAAATTATATTTCAGCTCAATGAAATATAAGTTCCGGGTAAAGGACAGTATACCCACAAGTTATTTGAAGAAAAGATGGCAGTGACCTGATTACAATCTCAGCTTTGCAACCACTCCAACAGGAACAGTTTTGTAGCCTGGTGCTAATTACTTCTGAAAGAACAGAGACATTAGCATTCCAGTTTAAATACCACCATTCTGATGAGCTCTGGATTATTAAAAACTTTCTTGCACTACATTGAATTTCACTCTTTCAATAGGAAAGCTTTTGTGTATACTTACCACAGGCTTTACAGGCAATAGCACAAATCTCTTCTGCAACATATTCTCCAGCTGGAAATTGAAGGTAATCCCCTCCTGTCTTCCCAGGAGAATGGTAAAGATACACTTGAAGCAACGGTTCTGTCTGCTTGGGTGCACTGGTATTCCCATGGATGTCACCATTCTGGTGGACAGTAGAAGCTGCTGTACCTTCCATATTTGTCATTGTAAGACAGGCCATTGTTCGTTTTGGTTCTGTTCAGAGCATTTGCCTAGAAGAAATGTAAGGAGAACTTTTTGACTTTGGTTTTGCCTGTAATACGCCTATTTAAGGATAGCAACATTCTGACACAGGAAAAACAGTAACAAGTGAGGACAAAAGAATGGCTTAAAGGGTTTAGTAAAAGTGTAGTTTCTCTTTGATTTATGACATAGCCCTAGTCTGAAAAATAAAAGGCACTATAACAGAAAAAAATAAGATACTAATTAGGAGTCTAACTAAAGGATTTGTTACTTTTTCACTGAATTTCAGGCAGTGTGTGCTCACCTTTCCAAGTGAAATATGCCAGTTACGCCTGAAATCCAAAATAATCTCTTTAATGGCATCTGTGCAACTCATCATATTCCCAGTTGAAATGCAAAGACTGCAGTGAGAATTTACAAGACAAAATAATTATCTAGGTCACAAACCGATGCTGATAAAGAGAAGGGTGGGAATAGCACCTTTCAGATGAGTTTTAGTCTTAAGCAGACACGTTGAAGAAAAAGTGCTAACTTACTTGAGACCTGTTGAGCAGACTTGCTTTGCGTCTATGACTCAGAGGACTTCCAGGACCACCTCTTTTCAGACTGATCATTTAAGTCTATTCATAAGGAACTCAGGCTAAAAATCCTCTCTGATAAATGTAATCAGGAGGAGACTAATAACATATAAGCACAAGTATTATTAATAATTTAAGAAAAAATTTTAAAAGTGAGATTGACAGCATATCACAAGCCAGATGAAGAACGTCTTTGCTCTTCTGTGGCTCCATCATAATTTTAATATCATCCATGCTTATCATAAAAAGCTTTGACCATAGTCCCTAAGACCTTCTTTTATTAAAACTGATTCCATGTAAGTACCACCTGTAATTCAGCATTTTATATTTTCAAAATGCAGAACAGGTCTAAACAAGACATCAGTTACAAAGATTCAATTTTTTAGAATCATAGAATGATTTGGGCCACGATGCGGTCTCCCCTCTTTTCCCTAGGTTGAACAACCCCAACTCTTTCAGTCTGTCTTTGTATCAGAGGTCTTCCAGGCCCTTAGATCCATTTTTTGGCCCTCCTCTGGACCACCTCTAGCCAGTTCAAGTCTTGCTTGTGTTGGGGACCTCAGAGCTCTATGTAGGAATCCAAGTGGGGTCTCACAAGAGCAGAGCAGTGAAGGAAAATCACATCCCTTGACCCGCTGGACACTCTTCTTTTTATATGATACAACTGGCTTTCCCAGCTGTGAGCACAGATTGCTGGCTGACATCTCATTTTTCGTCTACCAATTCATTCAAGTCCTTCTCTGCAGGGCTGCTCTCAGTCTCTTAAATCCCCAGCCTGTACTGATAACATGAGTTGCCCCAGCCCAGGCAAAGGACCTTGGACCT